CGCTGTGGACGCCCACGTTCACACCTGCATCTGTGCGTCAGGGTCAGCGGTGGCCCGGGCACCGGGCCTGGCACATCCGGCGCCTAGCTAGCGTCGCTGCCTGCCCGGTCCCGGTGGCTTTGCTCTGCCCACATCCTCCCTGTCCTGCCTCCGCGTCGCTCCACACACCCCTCCCAGCCCACGCTGCCCACTCCCTGCACACTGGGCCCACAACACTTCCGGACTCTCAGCTTCCGGCTGGAAAAGTGGCTTTAAAGGCCTGGGCCCTGGGGACATCCGGCCGCGTGGGGGAGGGGTGCTCTTAAAGTGACAGGGGCCAAGGGAAGGTGACGTGGGTGCGAGGAGCCTGGGGTGCGTGGAGGCTTGAGGGCCTAAAGCAGAAGCTTCTCCCAACCGTGAGCCTCTTCACAAACGTCCTCACGGAGTGGCACCCTGGCCCTTTTTAGTTTTTATTCTGAGACAGGTTCTAAATTGCCCAGGCTGGGCCCAAACTTACAATCCTCCTGCTTCAGCCTCCCCAAGTGCTGGGATGAGGGGTGTGCATGATCATGCCAGGCCGGAGAGAAAACACTTTCATTACTGAATCAGCCTGGAGCCCACAGAAGCTGCAGAACAAAGGCAGAGTGGCCCTCTTATGTACATGGGAGCCGGGTGCTGCAGAAGTCACTGCCCCGCCCTCCCCCTGTGCCTCTGCTGGGGCCCTGGGAGCCCCAATCCCCTGCCCTTAACCCTTCACCTTTTGTTCTGGTACTGAGGATTGAACTCAAGGCCTTCGCGCTGAGCTACACCCCAGCCCTTTTGTTATTCTTTATTTTGAGACTTTCCTAAATTGTTTCAGATGGAATCAAACTTGTAATCCTCCTGCTCAGGCCTTCAGAGTAGCTGAAATAACAGGCCTGCGCCACTGCACATGGCTGAAATTTTTTTTTTTTTTTTTTTTTTTTAAGATCAAACTCAGACCTTGTGCTTGCAGAACTCAGACCTTCTGCTTGCAGGGCTATTTTTTTGGTACTGGGGATCGAACTCAAGAGACCTTGCACTTGCAAGGCAGGTGGCAGCACCACTAAGCTACATCCCCCACCTGTGGCTCTATTTTATAACATTTTCCTCACCTTGAAAACAAAGCCTTAGCTAGGCGTGGTGGTGCATACCTGTCCTCCCAGCACTCAGGAGGCTGAGGCAGGAGGATAGCTGAGAGTTTGAGGCCAGCCTGGGCTATACAGTGACTTCAAGGTCAGGTTGGACTACAGTAGGAGCCTGTCTCAAAAAACTGCAGAAAAACAAACCCTGAGCTGGATATCGGGCACGTGCCTGTCATCCCAACACTCTGGGAGGCTGAGGCAGGAGGACTGCAAATGCAGACTAGATTGGAGAACTCAGCGTTTCAAAAAAAAAAAAAAAAGTAAAAAGAGCTGGGGAGGTAGCTCAGTGCTAAAGCCCTGACATTAATTCTCAATAGCAAAAACAAAAAGTGTCCCCCCAAAACCTCACTACCCTTTAACTATCTCCTGCCAATGTCTTCCCAGTATCTAAGCAACCACAAAACTACCTTTTCTTTTTTTTATTTTTGAGATGGGGTCTTGCTGTGTAGTCCTGGTTGGCCTTGAATTCATGGCGATCCTCCTACCTCAGCCTTCGGAGTGCTGGGGTTACATGCATGCACCCCCAGATCCGGTCTAGGTGTTGTGTGTTCTCTTTTATTATTATTACTTCTTGTGTATTCTCTTTTTGCATGTGTTGTGTGCGGTCTTGGGCGGGTTTTGGTGTCGGGGCAATATTGGCTTCCTGGCATGACTTGGAGAGTTCACTCCTAGCTTTTGGAGAAGTCTGTGAAGGAATCAGTATAAATTCTGCTTTATGTGTTTGGAGAATTCAGAGGTCCTGGGCTTTTCTGAGAGGTTTCTGAGTCCTGATCAATCTCTGGCTAGAAATCTATTCCTGTTCTCTCTCTCTCTTTTTTTTTTTTTTTTGTGACAGGGTCTCACTATGTAGTTGAGACTAACCTAGAACTCACTATGTAGTCCAGGCTGGTCTCGAACTCACAGCGATCCTCCTGCCTCAGCCTCCTGAGTGCTGGGATTACAGGCATGAGTCACCATGCCCGGCATCCGTTATCTATTCCTTCCTTCCTTCCTTCCTTCCTTCTTTCTGAGACGGGGTCTCACCATGTAATCCAGGATGGCCTCAAACTCCTGCCTCCACCTCCTGAGGGCTGAGAGGGAGCACAAGCCACCACACCCCGATAAAATGGGACTTTGAAGAAACCCAGAGCTTTCTACCAGGAAGAGTGAGGGAGGCAACTGTGCTCCTCATTTTCCAGACATCACGTGAGGGAGACGGGCAGCGGCTCTATCTGCCATCAAAGCCCATGACCCGCCCCAGGAGGCCAGCACTCCCCCACCCCCCCCAGTTCAAGTTCCCCTTTCCCAAACCACACTGATGACTCAAAACTTTTCCCCACTAAGGCTCCCCTCCCCCGCCACGTGCTGCAAAGAAAGAAAAACAGGACCCGATCTTGTCCCTGCAAAGGGAGCCTTTATTGTAAGTCACATAAAATGCAGTTTCGTGATTGCCCGGAATGGTACACAATACTGTTGGCTATATACTAATCTGCCTCAATGGTAAATATGTATCTCAAATAATTTCATAGAGTTTGAAAAAGAAAAACTTATAAAAGTAGACTTTCGTTGTAAGGAAGGGATGTTCGCTGGAGTCGTTGGCCGCCCCCACACAGACCGCGCTGGCCGGGGACCAGCGTGCGGTGGTCCCTCGTGTGGCCGCAGGGGCGGGACGGGCGTAGAGGGATGCAGGATGTGGACGGCGAGCAGGAAAGTTCGGTCCAGAGCCCCAGCCTGCACAGCCTCGGGAAGCTCCAAAGCTCGGCCTCCGTGCCCCAGCCGCCCCATTGCCGTCTTCCGGTCCAAACCCAGTGCCGGCTGCAAGGCCCACGTTCCCGC